AACAGCACAGCTGCTAAATGGAAATATCCCCAAACAGAATAAACATGCTTCAGCAGTGGGTTATTGGTCATTCAGAAGAAGTTAGCAGATTGGATCAAATTCATGGGGAGATTTCCCTAAGTAGGGTTTGCCAGTTGAGTGCTGAACTAAACATTAGGGGCATCAATTAATCTTCAATTTATTTTAATGATACTATTCACATGGATTCAACACACGTTTCTGCACATCTTCATCACGCATCTCACAGAAATGTTAGTATAATTACACTGTGTTTAATTTTAGAATATGTGTGTCATTTCTGGCCAGTGTTGCCGGACCACATTTCTTCCACAATGAGATCCTTGTAAATCTTTGTGCACGAAGCTCGACGTCCAAAACTTGGATTTGGTAAACTGGTTAGTGTGGAAGGGAAAGGCAGATGATGTCATGAGGAATCAGATTAGCTGGATAATGGTCTGGTATTTTATCAGCTGTGTGTGAAAAATGAGTTATCTGATGTTTGTAGGTGGTTTACTTCATGTATTCCATCGTGAGACAGCAGCAGGTAAACAGGTGTGATGGGGAATTATGAGATGCAGAGTAGAAGGACAAGAGTAAGATGGAGGCAAGAAGTCTCATTTAAAATCGACATAACTTCACATCTACAACTGTACAAGTGCGTCTAAAGCTCTTTTCATGCTAAACACACAACGGCGGAGCATTGTCCTTTTTTTAATAATTTGACACAAATCCAAAAAGGGCACAGCTGCTGGAAAAAAAAGGTCCTTGAGGAAACACTGCCAAGCAGCTGCTAGATTAGTCTATAAATTGTCGGGAAAAATGGTTACTTGTCAGTTTCATTAAAAAAATATATATATTTTTTTAAAAGGCACTGCACACTTGGCTTCATGTGGGTACATTTATTTTGAAGGATTAAAGAGAATTGCACAATTGGTCGAGGTCTTCTGATCTTAAAATCTGGGTTTGATGTACGTCGATACGAAAACCACTAGTTTATATATATATATATATATAAATACATTAGTATTAAAAATGCAAGCAGTCATGTTAGTGCTCCTTTTCAACTGTATGCCAGCTTTTTTACTTTCCTGTCTTTATTCTTCTGCCTCGCCAATCTTGTCGACCGTTTTGCTGAAGAACTCAAGATTCAATGTGATTTTCTGCATTTATTAAAAGTAGAGCAGACATATTTTCGGCGTTCTTTGGGAAAGCCACAGTAGGCAATTACTTTACTCTCCCTGTCACTGATTGAATGTTAAATCAAAAGACAGCTTTCTCCTGGAGCATCCTGCCCAACAGCATCAGAGGGGAAATGCTTTCTCTTAATGAATAGACAAGCTGCAGTAATTAAACACATAAGAGATGCATTTTTTTCCATTACGTCCTACCCAGGAAAACCGTCTAGAGTCTTTCACAATAAACTTTAACGGATTATTGATTCCAGACGTGTCCCAATAAGACTATCTCAGGCCTCCCCACTCCTTCTCCCGCGGCTCGTCTTCCACGATGAAAGCTCTCTGGTTGCTAGGCAGCCCCGCTGGATGACGAGGACTACTCCCAACTGCGTCACTTTAAGATTTCTTCACGTGGAAGTTATTTCTAGGCAAAGGGTCAAAGAGAGAAACACCCTACATGATATCAGTATTAATGCCATGTAGTAAGATGTCAATTTCATTAAGTATTTGCTTTTTACTAATGTTCTCCCCATGACATGAGAGAGCTCGTCATGCACCGCGGATCATACGCTCATTATTCCGGGGATGATAGTGGTACGCACACGTTTACACAGCAATAGGCACACCATTACACTTCTACTGGCTATAAAGTGCAAATGAGCAAACAGGAGGGTTCCCACGGTAACAGTAATGGTTACGTTTTAAGAAATCGGGCCAGAAATATATCCCCTTCCATTTCTCTCTCATCTTTTATCCAAACACCATGCTGCTTGATGGTTAAGCAATTCAAAACAACTTCTTCCTGAAGTCATTTAAAAGTTGTTTGTTCCAAGAGCAACTTGGGTGACGTTGACCTTTCATTTGCTGGTTGACCAGTGTGACAAATCGCCTCGTTCTACAGCTCCCACTGCAAGAGCGACGAATACAGACATGAAAAACAAGAAACGGGACAATGATTACCAGGGAAGCGCTACCTCGGTCAGGCTTTCCAAGCAGCTTAGTTATTAATGGATTGGGCAACTTACCTATCTGTGACATTATAAAGTACAATACAAACGTTAAATAGCCTAAGAAACAACGATGTAGAATAGAGAGCAGGAGCCTGGGAGAAAAAAAAAAAAAAAGAAGCTTTTCAGCCTGCGTGTGTCATCTCAGCTGGTGCAGCAGGTGTGCCGCTGCTTTGTGATCTACTTCTTACATCAGTTTCTCACGTGTCTTATTCTATCAGAGAGAACTCTCTTTAACGTGTAGACATCGCTGATGATAGAGATTTACGAGAGACCGCCATTGTTTCGGGGCGAACTCGCCTCTGACGCAACGACAGAAGCACTTGAAATCGATTCCCCCTCATCAGTAAGCAGAGCGTCTTCCGCAAACAGTGCAACGCACACGCATGCAGCCGCACCAACACACGCACGTAGCCATCTTGTTACCATTCAGACGATTGGCGTGTCCATCACTCTCCCACACGGCAGACAGAGCAAATAATAAAAAGGTTCTCCGGGACAGAAAATCCATACTTTGAACATCGCACGGCAGTCTCCGAACGTTTAACCTTCTTCGCGTCTGCGGAAAATGCAAAGCACTCATTATTTCAATTGCAATGGAACGGCATGCCATTCAACGTCGGCCTGTGCAGGTTGCACAGCAGTAGTGGTCTGGAGATTGTTGTTGGGCGGCAGGGCATTGTGCAAAACATATCAGGTTTCAACAAAAGGTCCAGCCATTTCTATTGAGACGTCGTTAGGTCTCAGGGAAATGTTGCGTCCTTGTTCACGAGGTGGAATGTGGCCTGCAGCGCACCCGGAGTAGTAAACACGGCCCACTTATCCAGTAGCCAGACAGGTCTGATTAAAGTCGCAGTTTGTCAGTCTCAGTTTGTTTTATGCAGGGATATCGCATTTTTACTCTTAAAAAAGAAAAAACAACAGATTGATGCAAAACCGCAGGATACCAGAAGAAACCGGTCAGACAACTTGTCACTCCAATTGGGGGCTGAATCAGCTCAGCAGCGCACAAGAAGCAAAACAACAAAAAGGCGTTTCTGAATAATGGGTTTATGTACTTGATGTTTGCTCTGATATAAAAATAAAAAAAACAGGTCTTATCAACCACAGGGCCATTACTGCAAAGTTCGGTCACACTCAATTCTACCTTATCTTCACATATGCCAACGTCGCCTCTTGGTGAATGTGGAAACACCCACACTGGTTGCTAATCAGGGTTCTACCGAGCACCGCAAATGCCACGAGGGCACGGCTGCGTTCACAGAGAAACAAATAAGGGAATCAACCCTTGCTAGTGGCATAAGCTTGGAAAGGATGGCCGATCTAGATTAAAGAAGTAAACATCTAAAAGCTTGGATTTGTGTCTACGGCCCGATTAACAGTTACAGGGATACTGCTGTGGAGGATTGGCAACAGAGTTGTTTAGGCATATGGCCAGATTTGGTAAAAAGACCAGTTGATTCTAAACTAACGCTGAACAATAACTGAACAGCAAGCGCTCTACAGGTAGGAACAACACATCCTGTGCAACGATGCTAAAGTTTTGCTGCAGAACGTTGAACAGAATGTTGGGCCAAGTGACTACAAGCTGCTGCTGAATGCATTAGTCAACAATATGTGTCAATTTACACCAACTTCTGGTTTTGCTCTTTGCTTATTTCCCTGCATGCATTCCTCAGAACACCTGAAAACCAGATTACCCGTTTGATTTGACAGAAAACCAATTAGCAACAATCTTGATAATCCGTTCATCATTACGTCGTTTTTTTTTTTTTTCAAGCAGTAATGGCAGCATCCTCTGGCTTTAACATTCTCAGCCCGTGCTCGCAAATTGCTTCTTTTAGCCAACTAAACAGTCCAACAGGGACGTACAATCAATGCGATTATGTCTGCTTAGGCTCTGGTGCAAGACATTTAACTGCATGCTGACATTTTGAAGTCCAAATGACTAATCGAATAAACAACCAAAAGGTGAAATGAGTTCTACATTACTCAAATATCACATTTGTTATGTTATCATTACCAAAGTGATTAGGGCTCTATTACAGTCCGTTATGACAGTTTAGTGAAGAAACCTCTGGCATGTTCAATGCTTGGTATTGCAGTGAACTACTACCACGCAAACAGTGAGTGCAGTAGGAGCCAAAAGGTTCAGCGATAAACTGCTGCTGTCATCAGTGAGTGGATAACAGGACTGAATGCCCATAAGTTAACAAGAGGAATATACCCTGAACGTGTTTATTTCTAAGGAGAGAAAAAGAAAAAGTTCACAACTCTACAATTTATAGTTTGTGAAATCCATCGTTGCATAAAAATATTTGAGAGTAAAATGATTGCTTCTTTTACAAAATATAGTTGTGCTTTGTTCTTTGTGCATTGGGGTGGCTTTGCGGGGTGGGGGGGGGGTTTACCGGAACCTATGGAAAGATAACGTCGCCGCCTCAACTCTCCACGTCAGTATTCAGTCCTTACAGTGCACGGCGGCCGGGAGGTCATCTAAGCAGACACACTGCACCAGGCCTGAGAATTGTAGACGTGATGTACGAGCGACGCTGAGGAGAACTGAAAAGGTGACTTGTGTGCAAATGTTAAAAAGGGGAAATGTGAAATCATATTACATTTTTTTTTGCCCGCACGCCCACGCAGAGCCAAATACGATTACAATGCTCCCCTGTGAGCGTGAATACATACTGGCTTCAAACAACCAGTCCACACAGCGTAGCCCTCTGGACAGCTGACCAGCACATTCCTCATTTCAGCCACAGGCCATCCGACTGATAAACTATCACAAATCAGTTAAATAAAAACTATTACTTACTGAAAACGGATTCTAGTAGCTGGGGACTTTCCTCCTTGATGCTAGGCACAAATGATGATGTTGGTGCTGCTTCCCAATGTCCCCCAGAGGCCTCTAAAAAGTTCCTGTTAAGTGAAAATAGTGGCATGTTTTAATAACTGAAAAGAATCTTTTCTGTAAAATAACTAAAACCAAAAAAAGCCACAGCAATATTTTGAGCCAACAAAAGAGGACGCAAGCAGGTCAAACAAAAGGTGGCGCCACGCTGTATTACAATATGAAGTGAGGCGCTCATCAAAAGATAATGCATCCAAAATGAGATTTTGCCGGGTTTATGCAGACCGCTCCTGGGGGAAATTACTTGCCAAATATACACAGAAATAGTCCAGTGTTTTGACACCACTCCACTGAATTGCTTTCCTGTCTTCACCAGATGTAATCAATGACTTGAGCAGCCAATCATTGAAATCTGCAAAGCAACATATGGTCTCCTTAGCTTCTCTAATCTTGTCCACTGGAATACAACACATCTGCTGGGGTCTCGTTGTAAAAGCCTATTGCAAACCCACCGCCGCAACAGGACTATAGGAAAATAAAAGAAGATGCCAGGAAGAAAGCCATCACAACATGCAGAAATGCAAAAATAAATATAGCTCCCACCATTTTGCGGAGGTAAATCTGTTTAAATCTAGTGACAAATATCAAAAAATCCCTACAAGACATCCTTGAGCTTAAAAAGAAAATCTTTCAAGTATCAGTGAATAAAATCATGAGATAAAAGATCCTTCACGGCCACTGTTAAGAGATTAGACGAAGTAGCACAAAGGGATTTCTATGTGAGGACAAAGGCCTCGGGCGGTGTGAATTCTACCCTCGCACTGTCAGCGGCATACAACAAAATAAAAATACGTGAATAATACTCACAAGTTTGTTGTAGAATTGGGAGTGCATTATGAATACAAACGTTAATGAATCATTCAGGAGTTTAAAAAAAATGGGGGGGGGGGCACCATCTGCTTTGATACGCAGCGTGCCAACAGTGTGTGCAGGACCTGTGGGACTGTAGGGCTGTGCTGTGTGATGCTGCCGCTTCAGAGCCCCTTCATTCAAATCTACAATGACACACACACACAACAATCTGCAGAAGCTACTGCTAAAGTCTCTAAGGACATCTTCAGCTTCACAGCTCCATTGAGACCAGATCAACTCTATTCAGTTCGGTGTTGTGCACAAGGAGGCTTCGAAAAAAACGCAATTGCAAAAAAAAAAAAAAAAAAAAAAGCTCACTTCAGCAGGTTTTTTTGTGAGTTAGGGTTAATATGGAACGGCCATTTCCAACAACAGATACTCTGCAGTGGATCCGTGCCCTCGGATGGGCCGGTCGCGTCAAATATTTCCATTGGCGAGACCGTTGCAAGGCAGCGTGTGCCACCATTAGGTAACACAGCGACCCGTGCCGCCCTTCAGCCTGGAGAGAAATGCTCGCAGCTAGGTGACCATATCCTGCAGTCACAGGGAGGAAAACAGTCTGGAAAGGTCACCGCCAGACCAGACCTGACCTACTTACCAGAGCCACTCAGGCGTTCAGACGGTAGGGTTCAACTAACAATGAAAATATATCAATATAGATTTTATTCATTTTCAAAGAGGCTGAAAACTCACTGAACAGATGAGGATGCCTTGTTTCATCGGTCCGGTTTCCTCACACAGTCAGAACCGCCCCCACCTGCCCACAGAGCCTCAACGCCATGTTGATTCCTAATTGCAAGGCAATTTGCAAAAGAAATGGTGCAACTGCTGCCATGTGAATAAGGCTCGATCCACAAAAGGGACCAAATCAGATACTTAAAAAGGCCTCGTGCTGGGGAGAGGGGGTAAAAATAGCTCTCATCCGTCTCCTGCAACATCAGTATTTTTATCCCTACTTTGCGATAGAAGGAATGTAAATTGGCCCGAGCCCGCCTAATGCAGCAGTGTCGTTTTGAAGGAAAAACATTTATAAAAACAAAAAAAAATTCAGTAGAACTGTTAAACTGACATTTCAGTAATCCAGTGAATCATAGCAGGAACCCTGCAGATTGCTCAACTGTAGGATACAAGTCGTCGTCGTCAACAGTGACAAAACACTGCGAACAACACACCAAGATCCTGAGCTGAGGAGCGTTTGAGACGACTCTCACACGTGACCCACCTCTCCTAGGAAAGAGCAGCAGATCATTGCCTGAGCTGTCAGCCTCCTCTCATCACTGCACCAAAGCTCAATTGCAGCTTCAGAGGAAACAACCTCCCATCACATTTATGTGAACATTACTGATCGCAACTGTGGAGGTCTACTCCATTTCTTAAATCCATACATTAAATATTTTCTTTTTTTTTTTAAATATGGAATCATCAGGTGCGGCACTAATTAGGTAATTATTCAACCACGTTAAACTATTCCCTTAAACGATAGAAACTACACATGTATTGATGAAATAAAGTAAGATCCACTCGGCTGGGTCATCTGGAATATTTCCTCATCGATGTTAACCTCGTACTGCTGAAATAACTTCACGGTCACAGGGTGAAGCGGCTCAGCCGTTAATACGGTTACACATAAACCTTTTATTAAGAAATCAAGGGGCTTAAATTTGAAACGGACTTTTAACTTTAAAATGACATGGAAGGGAAATAATGTCATGTTGTTTTCCCTCGCTGCTCAGAGCCGTCCAGCACGCTCAACTTCGCCTCTCCAGCTTTTCTAACCCTTTCACACAAACTAGCCAGCGTTAATATTACAAAGACATTTGATTCCATCCAAATAAATCTTCAAAAAAAAGCAACACACACAAAAACGAAAAAGCGACATGACTTATTTGAGTAGAAAACACACACACAACTCGAAGCGCGTTTAAAGTAAAATAAAATGCGCTCCTTGTCGAAGAGCACGGTAGACGCGTGTCACTTACAGCGGGTCGTGGGGTGGTCTTCAGGTTTTCAGGTCTTCGGGCTGTAACGTTGGCAGGTTACCGGAGAGATTGTGAACCCGCGTGGACCGAGAGGCGTCGCAGCGGTGCGCTCCGTGCTTTCACAGACCCCGGAGCAACGGACACATTTAAGGGAGCTGCGCATTACCGTAACACCGCGCGCTCTCCCCGAGGCGCACTTTGCATGGTGGGTACCGTAAAACCCGTGAAAAAAAAACTATTAAAAACTACTCTGTTAGTCGTGGACAAGTTGCAGTATCAGAAACCCTGTTACAACTAAAAGTAGTGCACCCGGAATCCTACTAAAGTAGTAGTGGCTATTATTGTCATGAAATATGATTTGTAGTACAAAAAGGCTGATTGTAAATAATGTATAAAATATCACTGGATTATTAAAGCATCGATGTAGATTACGTCACTCTAATGTTGCAAAAAGTGGGATAATGTTCAGATGGGTCTCTAAATAGTCCATAAAAATACATTATGATTGCATTCTTATGTCGTAATAATAATCTGAATATTCAAAACGATGTGTCACCAGTTCAATATTTGCCTCCAGATTGGAACTCAGTGGGCCAGAAGTATAGAGTAGCCTAAAATGTTTGAGAAACCTTTGTTCTCATTTAAGCCAAAGCATCTGATAAAAGGCAGGATTCCCTGGATGCATCAATAACAAAATAGTTTTCTTCTACTCAAAGGTAATGGCTTAAATGTGTTACTCACTCCTTTTCACACACATGCAAACGGCCGGAAGTGCAAAACCATCATCTGCATACCAATATGTACTCACTCATGTATATTGTTATTCATTTTGCTCAGCAGCTATTCCCATGAACCTCCTTTACAGTAGCATGTGTGCATTATTACTAGCCACTATTATTGTAAATTAACAAGTGAAGTAAGAGTATAGTCCTAATTCATTTTTATCTCTATCTGACTGTCTCTTCAGAAAACAAATGAATAGCTAGTGCAATAAGCTGCTCCTGCTTCCTTATTATGTGCCCGGTATTTCAACATCAAGCCTTTCTTAATGTTGCTGAACAGTTAAAATTCAACAGCCTTCTATTTCCACACTTGGCCTTCAGAGTGCAAATGGATGAAACAGGGTTATTTGCCTTTAATTGCTTTTGTAACAACATCGAGGATGTTCATGTAGGTGCTAATAAAACAGGCTCCCTTGCTTTGAACACAGGTGCTGAGTTGGTGCTGGAGAAAAGGACCTCCGTGGGATTGCTGGTATGGAGCAAATTGAAAGGTGTGGGAGATGAAAGGAGCATGGAGGTTCGCAACATGTAATAAACAGCTTACCAGTACCCCACTGTACACACAGTTCTCTCAAAAACATCATACAGCACTCCATACAGCAGGTCCAAACGGTATACTGTGTGACTTTGATCCATTTTGAGACAATGACCAAATTATAATTTTCTGTTGTGATTTGTGGGTTTTCCATATAGTCCTTTATATTTAGTCAGTCAGCATGGATTAACACTGTGGCTGTTCAAAATGCCTGCTGCAACAGTAAAATAGCTCAAGACTGTGACATTTAGTGAATTACATTTTTCACTCTGACACTATGTTGCACTCAAAATCCAACCGCGAGCCTGTCGAGAGACATGTGGTGGATGCTGAACTTACCATTCAATTTGAGCACCAACGTTTTGATGTTGTATTCTTGCTTGGGTCTGTGAAAGAAGGGTTCTTCAGACTTAATATTTAGTTTGTTTCCTGTTTTAGTTTGAAATTCCCTGCCTCGTGTGTCCTGCAGTATTTGATTTCCTGTCTTTGTGGATTATGGTCCTTTCTTTCTGTGATCACCTCTGCTCTATTAGTCTTACTCAGCATTGATCTGTTCCACCAATCAGCCTTCAGGCTGCCCTCATGTCCGCCCACCTGTGTCTTGTTGTCTGATTGGTTTCTTCCTTATTTATAGTCCTGTTTCTTTTCTGCTGGTTGTTGGCTTTTACATCACAATTTGCCATCTGCTCCCCGTGTCTGTCTGCACTTGGGTCCATCCCCTGTTGTCTATTTGCCCCAGTGGGAAATTTTGCAGTAAATAAGAACATATCATTACATAATGTCAATCAACGTTCCCCAGCTGCAAAACTCTGAAAGAACAGATTTAACTATATAATAGTAATATCTCCAAATATTAATTATACAGCCAAACTACATTACTTATGTTATACAACGATACCCATTATGAGATCGGGCATCATACTATTATGTTACAAACTCTTTTTCAACATGTGTTTTTACACAACAATGGGTCTTTGATCATTTCAGGGAATATGTGGGATAATGTAAAACATTTTCAATCGTGTAGCACTTGTAGCACTTAAATTGTACTTGTAACGCCACTTATCTATAGCAAATTGTAAATTAGCTTATTTGAGGAAATTGCACTTTCTTGTCTCTTGTTCTTCTGAGTTTGTACCCTATGGTTGGATGCACTTATTGTAAGTTGCTTTGGATAAAAGCGTCAGCTAAATGACATGTAATGTAATGTAATGTAATCAAGTTCAGGGTCACCTGCACGATTATGACATCCACCCTACAGTTATTCATCAGGTTGTCGGAAATTCAACGGAAACAGTGACGTTTGAGAGGAGCCATCATCGTGAGTGGGTGAAAGGGCGGGTGACTGTTACCGGTGATTGACAGTTATGGACATTTGGTGAACTGCGGTGAGAAAAGATGTGTGGGAGCATCATTGGGGAGCGTCGTTCCTTCAACATTTACTTACACAAAGTTGTCAAATGAGAGACGCCCTGTGTATTTTCTTTCCATGGTCCCCTATGTGTGAACCCCCAAAAGGAGCCACTCCTGTGCTGTAGAAGATAAATGGTCTGTTCTCCTTCCATTGGAATGAAGGTCTCTTCCAACTGACGGATCGGGACCGACCTACATTCCCGCACCAGTCTCAGTGATGTCTTTTCCTCCTGATCCGAATCTCAGAGCGCTGCGACGCAACACGTCTAAAGAGTGAAGGCTAGATGGTGGAGGGGGCATGCAAATCATATCACCAAGATCCAGCACTGACAAGATTGTAGACCGAATCGGGTTGAGAGACACCAGGGATTGAGGAAGGAATATTTTCACATACCAGCCCCCCGAAAAAGGGGCTGTGTGGGAGGCATGTTGTCTTCACCCACACTCAAACTCGTCAAACGAAAACACTCTTCTTACACCAACAACCGGCGGCAACCCACCGGGTGTTTGATTATTGTGGAAGAGGAGAGGGATGCATTAGAAAACCTTTTGTACTCTCATGGGATTGTTACGTGAGGTGTCAAGTCAACAACAGTGTTGTGAAAGTGGAACACATATGATTACTTCATGTCAAGGTAAGATCAAAGATATTGCAGGGAAATAAAAGGTTTCTTGGCCCCTCATTTGAACAGGCTGACTGAGGTCCAAATGAGTGTAGTCTGATCGGCCTTTTCCCAAATAATGCAAAGCTTTCTTTAACATCACCTAAGCGAAGCCTCCAATCTCTTGCTCTTGCTGCTCAACACCTGAAAGGACTGTGGCGACATCGGCTTTCACACCCACACCCAAGCACTTCAGCTAATCGTGTTCGACAGCTCTTTCGGGCATTAATCTTAAAGTCTCCTGCTGTGATCGTCTCAGTCGTCATCTTCGGATTCTAGGATGATACGAAAGCGTGAAATATATCCGGCGCATGGCCTTAAAAATGAATTAAGAAATCACATCCCTTATAATCCCTACCTTGCCTTAAAAAAGCAAGATGTGCTGTTTATGGGTAAGAGGGTGACATTTGTTTCATTTGAAGGAAACGACTATAGAGGCTTGTTGCCAGCGCGCTGAGAAAACTGGAACCAGTTATCACAACAGGAAGGCTGTGGGAAGTCGAAGAGGACAAAGATTTCCGGTACAAGAGCAGGAATCTACCGATAATGGCAGGTGGAAGGATGTGTTGAAGGAGAAACTATACAAAAGGAAGAAGGGTGTTTTCTAGAGGTTCATTTTTTATATACGTAGAGGGAGGTTAATACAAGGAGATAAAGCTTTCCGTCCTCCACATTAAATGATGAGCAACAGCTAGCTGTGGTTTGGCTGTTTCCTTATCAGAGAATCTCCTGATGTTCAGCCACCGTCCGAAAGTTGTCCTAAATAAAGGCAACAGTCGAGTATTGGCTAAATACAGTCTCTCTATGGCCTCAACTCTGTATGCATGCAGGTTTTTTATTGACCTGGCCTTCACCAGACCGCACAAATGCCAAGCTAGTTAATCATTTCCTTAGCTCATCCGTCACTTTGAGATTAATCTTTTTTTTCTCTGTCCGATCTTGGAGGGAATTATTGAACCCATTAATCCAACAATAATCACAAACTAAATTACCTTTCCACTAAAGAACTTGTACAAAAGGGAATAAAAAAAGGAACAGGGTAATGTCTTAGTGGTACACATACTGAGTCTTAAACACTGCAGATCGCATAAATTAGTCAATTTTAAATAAATTATCAAATGGTAATTGTCTTTTGATATGAAGGAGCTCTGCAAGGCTTTGGCACACTGTGCTTTTATGTGGGATACAACTAAATATTTAGCTGTTCCCATTATAGAAACAATGGTTTGTCCCCTCTTTCCAGTATAATTCAATTTCCTCTTTGCCTCAGCCAAGAGCTATTTTGGGAACCTGGCCCTTATTGGTTCCATGCAGGAGAAAATCATTAACCTAAACATGTGACGAATCACATTTCAGTTCAATTTACCTCCCGGTTTTGACAGCAGTACATTGCCTCAAAAGGAGCCCAATCATATTTAGTGTGATATACAAAACGATGTCCCGGGTGTAACGAAGAAATAAAAACATGAAAGAAAAGGGGAATGGAAGCTGGGAGGTGCCAACAGGTCTCAGATTGAAGAGTTGCCAATGAAGTTCTAATGAATTCACGCACAAACAAGACTCGCCGCTAGGAAAACAGCTGCAGTATTTTGGACCAAAGCCATATGATGGATCAAAGGCCTTTTCTATTATGCCGACATATTCGTGTTGCATAGCGCAGGTGGACTGTTCAATATTTCCCTCCGGATCAAAACGTCCGTCACCCTCTGGGATAGGCATATAGGACTTCTTACACATGGTTGCACAATTGACA